TATGAAATGAATGAACCAAAAATTTCATCCTTAAAAAAAAGCATATTCGAATATCTCATATTGAATGAAAATTTAGATGATCCAGTACTAATGTCTAAAGATACTATCTTACAACAAAAATATATACGTAACTAACGGAAAACATAGTAATTCTCCCCTCAAAAATTTCATATAATTTCAGATAGACAACGAAAACTATCTTCGTAGTAGTTTCCCACAAAATGAAAGTTAAACGCCTTGTCTCCCACATAATGAAAGTTAAACGTTTTTTTTTCACATAATGGAAGTTAAACTCCTTATTCCACACATATCCGATTAATTTTGGTTTCATGTTGACAAAAAAATGTCAACCAATTTAATAGAAAGCAAAACCGTTGTTAAACCGTATAAATTATCCGATTAGACTAAAACCCAACAACCTCAAACATATATAATCAATAAAAAAACTATTCCCTCCGTTTTTTTGTTTCAAAATATAAGTTGTTTACTAGGTACTTTTTAATTTTATTGAATATTGTGTGACCACTAATATTTTACAATCTTTTATGTGATTGGTTAAATTATTTTTATTAGATCTATTAAATAATATTTTTAGTAGAAAAATAGTTTATTAATATGCGTGCTTTTAAATAAAACAACTTACAATTTAAAACAGAGAGAGTAGCATACAATCGATCATACAAATATGAAATGAATGAACCAAAAAAATTTCATCATTTCAGAAAAGCATATTTAAATATCTCATACTGAATTAAAATATAGATGATTCTAGTACTAGTGTCTAAAAATACTATTTCACAACAAAAATATTTAGTTAAATTCAGAGTTCAAAATGATGAACTCTATGGTTAATCACCCACAAATATATTTTTTTATAAAAATAAAAACACAATAAAAAGATGGTGGCAGCTTTTTATCTATGATCCGTCGTGATTGAGTGCAAAGACAAATTTTATAATAATAACATTTTGTCGTAATTAATAATGACAAAATAAATTACAACTAAAAATAATCATTAATTCACTATTAAGTCAACTCCCTGGCTTCCCCACCACCGCACGTTCGTGTCTCTGTCCACTCATTGACTCAATCCCTCCTACATTTTCTTCTATCGTGCGCCTTCACATTTCTTAATGCTAACTTACTTTACACCTCACAATCGTTAACGTGCGCCACAATCCTTTAATTATCAGTATTACCTTATTATTTTCCAAATCACTTTCTTTTATTATTGCCAACTTGCTAATTTATCTCTCTTTTTTTGTTGTCCTTATCACAAAATGTCAATGACATCAACACTTTTTCCCTGCGTCATATACAGCATTTTTTTTTTGTAAATACATTTTGAAATTAATTTTTGTCCCAACTAAAGTCAAACTAATTTTACATTAGAAATTAAAGGAAAATTTATATTTTGTTTGTCAACTAATATGAAAATAACAACTAGGTCGTGGGATAAAC